TGAAACCCCCCTCAAATCGGTCGATTCGAGTAAGACACTTTTTTTTAAAGGGTATTGGATCAGACTTTTTGAAACTTTGAAGCATGACTCGCGAGCACCTAAGAATTGTCCCGACACTTTAAAAATGAAGATTTCTGAAGCGACATTTTTTAACTCATCCCAGACCAGAAGCAAAACAAGGTCGAGCTCTCATATTTCGATCGATATGCAATTACTGAAGGCTCCAATATGAGAAACGAAAGGGTCGGGACAATTGTACGACAACTTAGAACACTATGGTAATCGAGAAACTGGCATTTGAACGAGAGAAGGGCAAAAAAAGTGTCTTATGCGTTTCTACGGTAAAACGATGGTAATACGAGGTCTAGGAACGGAAATTCAGTCGAAACATGAATCCAGGGGATTTCTGAAGTTTTACCTAGATTTCTTTATAATGATTATACGAAAACGACAGGTGGAATGTGTCATTTATTACAATACCCAATATCGTAATTGTGTCATTTAGTACAATACCAAACGACACAGCCGTCGATATAAAAACAAACGTCCTCAACGTAGGTATTTAGAAAGATCTTTTTTCACCAACGTCTATCAAGTTCCTCGGCGTGTTTCACTTCACCTTAAGGTGCAGCAAATCAGTCGATTCGAATACAACACTTTTTTTGAAGGGTATTAGATCAAACTGTCCGAAACTTTGACAAATCACTCCTGATCATCTAAGAATTGTCCTGACACATTCAAAATTTGAATTTTTTAAAAGAATTTTTTAACTCAGCCCAGACCAGAACCAAAATGGCGTCGATCTCTCATATTTCGATCAGTATATAATTATCGAAGGCTCTGATATGAGAATCGAAAGGGTCAGGACAATTTTACGACAATTTAGAACACTTTGATAGTCGATAAACTCACATTTGAACGGGATAAGGGCAAACAAAGTGTTGTATACGCTTCTATGCCAAAACGATGGTAATACGAGGTCTCGGAGTGAAAATTTAATTTACCTGGAAATCACAGATGGCGCAAGGGGTCTCTCTGCAGTCAATTAGGGCCCCAGAAAGCATGAATCCAGAGGATTTCTGGAGTTTTACTTCGATTTCTTGATAATTATTGTACGAAAACGACAGGCGGAGTATGCCATTTGGTACAATACCCAATATAATTCGGTATAGCTGTCGATATAAAAACGAACGTCAACAACATAGGCATTTAGAAAAATCTTCTTTATCGACGTTGATCAAGTTAATCGACGTGTTTCACTTCACCTTAAAAGGAGCATCTCAGAATGGCGAAGCTCACCGAGGAGGTAATGTCGGATCCATTTCTTCTTAGGTGGAGGCGGCATCCATCGACTGTGATCGTCATCGACGGTATTGGTGCAATCGACCACATTGATTATACCAACGACTTGGGTGGAGGGCACGACACTATCATTCCGGGCCGTGTTCTCGGTCCCGGCCGTGATCGCCGACTTTCCTCCAGCCTCGGAAGACCTAACATGCCCCACCACGTCGAGGTTCATGTGAGGATGGATAGTCGAAGGTCCTTCTCCCAACAAGAGGACTCCCATCTTTTAAGTCCCTCGTTATCACAAAACCGGACTAGCTGATCGGTCCGCCTCTTCCCGTTCCTCGCGGCCAAACGAAGATAGTCACCCGGAGCATCTATCGGTCTTTCGATTAATGTCCACACACGAGACACGTATTTAATTCCCAGGATTCCTCGTAACACAAAAGTCTACGATGGATAACAGTTCGCCCACCTGGTTCCTAGGTTCGTGCGAGAATTCCCCACCGGTCTTCCTCTCCCTACGGAAAGAAGTTCCATGTTTTTAGTTCCGCATCGGGAACCATTCATCGGACCTTTAGGCGAGCTAATAGAGAGAGTCTCTTTCGGCCTCCCCGGAACGGGCGAAATCCGCATCGGAGTTTCATCTCGCGGCGGCTACCCTCCCCGAGAGGGAATTCATGCGTCGGGGACGACTTCGATTTCCGAAACGGTGCCATATAACCGCAGCCGATAGTCCACGGAACATCTAGTCTACTTTCTAGCCGTACTTTTTAACCGCGAGTACGCGTAAATCCCGCGCGAACAATCCACGGGACGTTCCTGCGTCCCTGGAGTGATATCACTTTTCCGCCCCTTGACACCGTAATCGGCGGGTACGTCGGGAAATTAATGAAATAACGTCGCGAGACAGTTCGAGGCTTGAAGTTCAAGAGGACTTAACGGGAGCACTTGACCCCCATTTAAGCGAAAATCCTCCAGCTAGTCCAAGAATGGCAGGAGTTGATTCCAAAGACACCACGCTAGGAAACTAACGTTCGATTCGGTGAATTTAATTGTGAGGGAAAAAAAACATGTACAGACGTACATATAATTTGCTCTCCCTTCAAGATGCATATCCGAGAAGCCCGGTTCTTTTTTCTTCGATCCGATCATCCCCGAAATCGCCGCACCTAATCTCCGGAGATCCCTAGTCGATCGATAACACTTCATCGATATTACGCCAAATCCATACGCACACCCGATATCCTAAAGATAATTTACCGACCTTCGATAAACCTCTCCACCTCCGATCCATATCGAAAGCTACCGTTCGTTCGATGCGTATCGAGAGTCACGAGCTTACGATATCGATCCTCCACGTGTGCCGACGTGTGCCACGATTACCGACGATCCTTCGAGCGATCACGAACCACGCACCCATGGAACCACAAAATACCATTCGCCATTCCACCCTACAGTCCGACAAAGTACAAGAGACTAGAAATCTCTTCACATTCTAAAAATCCACGTTCTCCCTCGCCGGCAGATATCCCGACGCCATCTCGTCCGACCACCTCCCTGTTCCCTCTTCGCAGTCTCCACACACCGTCGGTATCTTCCTTATCAACCGCACGTTGCATTCACGTCGGTACCTTAGGTCCCTTCCATATCGCCATAACGCAGCGCATCGAGGTCGTCCCCAAGGGTCACTCCGGCCCGTCTCGCGAGTGCCGACTGAAGTCCAAACTTAAGTGGCATTGCCACTAACCTGCCGCCGCTGGCCCCCTGCGCCCACCCCCTTGCCTCCCGCGTGACCGCCCGCCCCCATCTTTCGACGCCAATGGAGCGCGAGCGCCAGCGGAGTGGACCAATCAGCGCTCGCGATCCGGCCCGCGCTCCGCACGTACAAACGCCGCGCCGCGTGTCACGCGGTGTCATTGAAACCCGAACGTACCGACAGGGGGCGGGTAGGGGGGAGTCCGGGAGAGGACAAGCCGGCATCCGTGTCTCCGCGAGGAGAGGTGCAAGGAACGGAGGCGGGTAAATATGTCACTGAGCGTGATCGCAGGTGCCCGTCTCATTAAAATGTAGCTACACGATAAATTGCGGGTGCATCTTTTTCTTTTCTTTTAAGTAAAACTTCTTGTGCGCCGCCCATTTGAGGAGTAAAATGCTGGAAATTACGAGATGTAACGGAAAAGCGTTACGCATTGGAATGCATCCCCTCTCTCTTTCCTGCATACCGAGCCTGTGACGTCATCTACCCCGTACGTGTATGTGTGTGTATATAGTATAAACATATAATATGAATATATCAGTCTGTATATACATACGCAAGGGAGGAGAATATAAGTGAAAGGGAGAAGGAAACAAACCCGATAAGCTGCGAAGCTGGACCTTTCAATTTGGGAATAGGAGCTACGTCTTTACATAATGCAAATGAATTGCTGAAGTATCACTTCGGTCGTGTGTCCCGCGACGCACATTTCTTTTTCATTTCCTTTTTTTTTCACGTAGAACGCGTCTTTGTCGAAGGCTTTCAGGACCCCCTCGGTGGAGACAGGAAAACGTGTCGCGTATATAATCGCCGAATGCCGGATGTCCTAATTACGGCAAGAAAATACACGATGGACGAACTGGCGGAACAAGAGTGTGGATCTTCGCTAAGAATATGAAATTCAATAAGTTTCGAGAACCGTGGAAGGGTCGCCAATTTGAGATTATGATTTTCCGTGCAGTAATTCTCTAATCTAATTTTATTTATTTTATAAGATGAAGTAGAAAACTGAACATTTTCCCAGACATTATTCCGAGGCAAAACAAATTTTTTGGAATGGATGTACTTGTATTATGTGGGGGAAAATATACTATGACATTTGGGAAAAATAACTGATTAGAATTTTAGTAGTATGAAAGTAATATTGTATTTGGCAAAGATAATTGATTTCCATTGTTGAGCTATTTTTGTAGTTAAAGTCGGAAATAAAAATGTGTTTGGCAAAGTTTTTTTTACACCGTAGGTGTTTTTTGAAGAGATTATGATTTTCCGTGCAGTAATTCTCTAAAGTAATTTATACCACCTGAAGTTGTCAACGGTAAAGTAAAAGTGAACGCCTTTCTTGAAGCAATTGCATGAAAACAAAAGAACGTTTTTTTCTTTCTTTCTTTTCCATCGTTTGACTGCGGAACGTTCAGAAAAGGAAATGTGTCAATAGTACGGTATGTTGTAAGAAAGAAGTCGAGTTAGGCTCCTTTGATGCTCGTTTTTTTTTTAGGCGCTCGTGTGCTCTTCGTAGTCAAAGGTTAAGACAAAAATCAAGACTTGCGTTCTGAATTTTTCAAGACGTTCAAGTTAACTGCCGCAGAAAGGCGTAGAAAGTATGGCAAATGCAGGAAACAATTGGAAGAGAATTACGGGAACCCCCGCCTAAGAAAAGTAATGAAGGAGATTTCGAGAAAATATGGTCAAAAATGTTAGGCGACCGAACTGAACGTCAAAGATTCAACCCAGCCCTTTTTTTATTTTTATTTTCAATTTTTTCTTAATCATTCATCGGCGTAGCTGTGACTTTTATCGCCGAAACTCCGGCACGAGTAGGAGATAAAGTGCGCGGCCTAATTTATGCACGCTACGTGTAGCGTACCACGAGTATCACGTGACTCAGGCGTGAGCGTATTGTGTAACCCTCGAGTTGTTAAAATTGCAGGGAGTGAAATGGAAACGGACTCACCGTCAATGATCAACATCTTCTCCTCGCAGAACAGATCGTCGGGCTCCGTGCGGTCCCTCTTAGACTTGACCCCTAAAAACAGGAAGGGAGAAAAAAGACACGTTAACTCAAAAAATTCAACGGTAGTTCGAAAATGAGATAGGAATTAAAATCGCCTCGAATGACCTAGAGCGCATCCTGATTCGACGTGAAATCTGCGAAATCTTCACAAGCTGACTAAATTGCATCTGCAAAAGGGACATTTCCTCCGCTAGAATAGATTCCGAATTCAGGAGCATCGTCTCCATCTTTGATCACGGTTAAAATATATATATATTTTTTTCCCAACCGGCACGTGTATTCGCGTTGCGCGGAAGTTTTGCTAAATTTTCGACTTGGGAGGAGATAACAATTCCCGCCTCTCTTATTTTTCGGGTCAGTCGCTCGAGTAACAAGACGAAAATAAAGAGGCCCTCGTGACCTCGCGGCAGCTTACGCTCGCCGAAGACAGATATATATATATAAAAATTTCACGTCCGACGCGGACAGTTCCCGAGCGGTGTCGCCACCTGGCAACGGCCCGCCGAAGTAGCGGCGGGTGCGCGCACTCGAAGCAGGCCATAAACTCCGGGCAGCGTTTACGCCATTTCGAGTTAAGCCGTGATCCATGAAACGCGCGCATCGTAAGATTTCTAAACGGAATAACGGTTGTTTCGAATCCACGCATTTCGCAAATCGGCGTTGCCCATGTGCCGCGAAAGCGTAGGAAGTGTATACGCATAAAGGCTCCTCCGATCCCTTCCCCAGGGGTCCGGAAGAGCGAGAGAACGAGAAACGAGGATCTCGACAGCTTGGACCCAGCCACTATCGTTAGCCCATTTCGCGACTATTAAACCTCCTGGCGAACCCTAACGCCAGCCGCTAGCTCGATCCCTTTGAGTCGCGCGATCTAAAATTCCCGAGACAGAGAGCAATAAAATCCGCGAGACACGCGGGGTTCCCCGCGGGGTTACAACGCCCCGTGCAAGCCGGGGAGTCGAGTCCAAGCGCGCGCAGGGCCAAGCGACATAACCTAACCCACGGGCGATGCATACGTCAGAGGGCCCGGCGGGAGGGGGGAGGATCACAGAATCTACAGGTCGATGACGTACGAAATATTAAAAGAAACTCGTTTCCACGTGTCCGAGACGGCGCGTTGCGGAGTGGTGGGGGTGGCGCGGCGTCTCGCGGGGGTCTCGCGAGCGGGACGCGGAGACGCGCGTCCCAGGTCCCCCGGGTAAGGAGGAGCTGGCAACGTCGGAGATTGATCAGCGCACCACGCGGCCGCGCGCCGCCGGGTGGGGGCAGCCGGGGCAGCGCGCCCGCGCAGACCGCCGCCCGTCCTCGTGCTCGCGGCGCTGCACTCCGCTGCCCGCCCCTCCGCCGTCCCTGGCCGGCATGCACCGCGCACCCGGAGCCCCAGCCAAGCGCGGCGAGCCGAAGTGGCCCTCCCCGCGCCCCGCGGGGCCCGGCTCGCGCCGAGTGACGTCCTTTAAATCCTTTTGTAAGCACGCGCCCCAAGGTCGGTAAGGCAGCGTCCGATCCCCGGCCTCCCGGGAGCGAGGCACGCGAGGGAGCCTCCCGGCTTCGTGCGACCGTTTACGCATACGTCTCGTGGCAGGCCATAAAGCCCCTTCCCCCGTTCCTCGACATGCCGTCGAAAACGACCCTTCGACCCTCCTCCCCCGCCCACGAGAAATCCCCCTTACCGACCGATCGAAAACCAAGAGAACCCTCCGCAGCGGCCAGTACGGTCCCGACTCACTAAATGAGTTTATCGGGCAAACAAACCCTTTCCTCGTAACGGAGGAGCGGCTCGATCGAGCGCAAACGACGGAGACGGCGAGGTGGACGGGCAAAGAGGAAGAGAGAGACGGAGGCCATCAACGGCGCGCGGCAGCGGGACCGTGAATGAAGCGCGGAGCTGTCGCAGCCCAGAGTCACTGACCGAAGCAACCCCCACTCCCGCGCGTCCTTTGCTCCGACCCAGCGTACCCCGCCCCTCCCCGCCCACTCCGTACACCCTCTCCCGCCGTGCCTCCTACCTGCCGCGCGACCCTCGTCGTCCCGGTAACGGGGCAACGCGACTTCCGCCGGTCCTCTTCCTCCTCCGCCCGCCCTTTCCCGGAGCCATTCTCCTCCGGCTCCCCCCCTTCCCCCCCTGGCCCCGCGGCCGCCGGTGGTGCCAGCCACGTAGAGGCCGCCACTGGGCGCAGCGGGCCACGCTGCCGGCGAAAGTCCTCGTGCCCGAGGACCGACGCGACGCCGCACCGTTTTTCCGTATCAATCCACCTTTTCGTCCACCCAACGACGCTACCGGCCGCTCGTTTTTTTCGAAGCGTCCCAGTGGCGTTATCTATTTTCTTTTTTAACACGTTCGCTATCAGCGCCGCAAATATGCGTCGTTTCAGTTCTTCTCTGGAAGCCCGGCGCCGCAAATGTGCGACGTGTATCGTGGGCTGTGGTACAAGATTTTCTTCCCAAACGCTGGTACAGTACCGTGAAGTATCATGAGCTCTCCGTGCCAGAGTGCCCGGATCGGGCGATATATCACAAACTGGGCGATTTTAACACGTTCCCTGCCAGACCGTTTTTTGAAGACTTTCCGTTCACGCCGCGCCGATTAAACGAGCGCATCAGCAATAGTATTAATATCCCCATAATTAACTACATAATGAATTTTTAAAAAATTCTTCATTTTACAATGATAATACCAAATGGCTTGAACGGAAAGTTCAGCGTGGGGCGCATACGCCCCACGCGGCAGGGAACGTGTTAATGGTACGTCTACAAACTTTGCTTTTGAAGTCGCAAGTTACGGGTCCGGCGATCTTTAACTCTTTTAGTGCCGAAAAACGATATATTGTCGCTTTACGAGTGCTAACGACCGACCGTTTAATCATTGTTATGTATTAAAAATGTATAGCTGGAATCGAATTTCCGTCGTATTCGTGTGTCCTTGTCACCGTTTCGGTTTAATTGACCCCTGGTTTTCGATTTCACCGTTTGGCGACTTTTGCTCCGACTCGGCGACACCTCGCAAGTTCTTCCAGAGAAATCCGGGCACTCCGCTCCGCCCTGGAATACACCTTAAAATCTTACCGCAACTAAATGAGTAATCGTCAACCCGCCCTGGGAGCGGCGATAAACTCGCAAACTGCAGCGAGAGGATAAACTTACCGTGCGTCTCTCCGGACCCGTAGAGGCTGGATCGGGACACGGAGGAGTGCGAATGCTCCGAGGAAGAGGTGCTGGCGACGCGTTCCCTCTTCTCCTGCAGCTCGACATAACGGGCCGCCTCCAACAACGTTTCCAGGCTCATTTTGAGGCCGCGGGTGTCACGGGCTCACATCCACGATCGAGGCCCTCCGGGACCGTTCGGCGTCGACCTCGCCGAGAGCGCGACCCCCGGGAGGCTGGGACGGGCCGGAGAGACAGGGGCTCGCCGACACGCGGGGATTCCGGAGCGGAGAGGCCGGAAGCAGGACCAGGCTGGGGATTCGATGGTCGGCGCTCGAGACGGCTGCGAAACGAGCTGGCCCCCTCCGGCTTCCTCTTCGCTCCAATCTAAACCAAGAAATATCATCAATTTAGAGATTTAAACCTTTCCAAACCTCACAGGAAGCAACAATTATTTCTCGCCTCAAAGCAAGTTAATTTCCATGCCTTCCTCGACTCCGATTTAACCCAAACCAATTTGTTTTGTATTTCCATCTTCGATGCTTATCTGCCGTGTTTTTAATCCTCTAATTATTAGTTATGTAAATAAATGTTGGACGGTATTATAGTTATATTTTATTGCCCCAATTTCAACCGAGAAAATGTATACATTCAGAGATTTAAACGTTTCAAGAGCTTTAGAGGAAACCACAATTTTTTTCGCCGCAAATCGCGTTAACCTCCATGTCTTTTTCGAGTTCGATTGAGTCCAAACCAATTTGTTTTGTATTACTATTTTCGATGTTTCTTTGTCGTGTTTTTTAATCCTCTAATTATTAGTCATGTAAATAAATGTTCGGCGGTATTATAGTTATATTTTATTGCCCCAATTTGAACCGAGAAAATATATACATTCAGAGATTTAAACGTTTCAAGAGCTTTAGAGGAAACCACCATTTTTTTCGCCGCAAATCGCGTTAACCTCCACGTCTTTTTCGAGTTCGATTGAACCCAAACCAATTTGTTTTGTATTTCCATCTTCGACGCTTCTCTGCCGTGTTTTTAATCCTCTAATTATTAGTCACGTAAATAAATGTTCGACGGTATTATAGTTATATTTTATTGCCCCAATTTGAACCGAGAAAATTCATACATTCAGAGATTTAACCCTTTGCGGTCGTATGTCTACTCTCAGCCACCAAAATTCTCTTGACCTTGGGAAAATGCGACCGCAAAGGGTTAAACGTTTCAAGAGCTTTAGAGGAAACCACCATTTTTTTCGCCGCAAATCGCGTTACCCTCCATGTCTTTTTCGAGCTTGATTTAACCCAAACCAATTTGTTTTGTATTTCCATCTTCGATGCTTCACTGCCGTGTTTTTAATCCTCTAATTATTAGTCATGTAAATAAATGTTCGACGGTATTATAGTTATATTTTATTGCCCCAATTTGAACCGTGAAAATTTATACATTCAGAGATTTAAACGTTTCAAGAGCTTTAGAGGAAACCACAATTTTTTTCGCCGCAAATCGCGTTACCCTCCATGTCTTTTTCGAGTTTGATTTAACCCAAACCAATTTGTTTTGTATTTCCATCTTCGATGCTTCTCTGCCGTGTTTTTAATCCTCTAATTATTAGTTATGTAAATAAATGTTGGACGATATTATAGTTACATTTTATTGCCCCAATTTGAACCGGGAAAATGTATACATTCAGAGATTTAAACGTTTCAAGAGCTTTAGAGGAAACCACAATCTTTTTTCACCGCAAATCGCGTTAACCTCCATGTCTTTTTCGAGTTCAAATAAGTCCAAACCAATTTGTTTTGTATTACTATTTTCGATGTTTCTTTGCCGTGTTTTTAATCATCTAAGTATTAGTTATGTAAATAAATGTTCGGCGATACTGTGGTTACATTTAATTCTTCTTAGCCGTGTTCTTAGTTACCTAAATATTGATTATGTAAGTAAATGTTCGGCGGTACTATAGTTGCAGTTTATCGTTACGGATTCGTGTGATGGCAAGAATCGAGGCGAACAATCGAGGAAGACGCGAAGGTTAGGCGTGTCTGTCCTCTCGACTTGCGAATCGGGCATTAAGAGTCCGAAGGCGCGATCGAGGTGGTTTAAGAAAAAGAAATACACCTCGAAAGAGGCCAACGGAGACTCGCCGATTTAGCGATTCGCTCGCGAGATCTCTCGTCTCGAGATTTCTCCTTGCGATAGATCGCGAGAAACGCTCGAAAAGTGGGCCTGGAGATTGCGTGCTACCATATCCGAGGCGTACTCCAAAACACGTCGGCCTTTCCTTAGGAACGACTAATTACACCCAAGAACAGGCGAAATCAACACCACGGGTGTAATGACTTCCGTTCAATTGAATGCACGCCTTATATCGAAACGAAAAAAGGTCCCTATTAGATCGAATACAATGAAGGATCGGATAAACGGCGGCTTTCCAAAGATCAAGCCAGATTTCATGCTCATCTGTGCGCAGTTCATGAACAATTTAAGGGGATGTTAAGGTGAAGTGAAACACCCTTCAAATCAGTCGATTCGAATACAACATTTTTTTTTTTAAGGGTATTAGGCCAAACTGTCCAAAACTATTGACACATCACTCCTGATCAGCTAAGAATTGTCCTGACACATTAAAAATTTGGATCTTCCAAAGAAATTTTTTAACTCAGTCCAGACCAGAACCAAAATGGCGTCGAGCTCTCATATTTCGATCAATATACAATTATCGAAGGCTCTGATATGAGAATCGAAAGGGCCAGGACAATTTTACGAGAATTTAGAACACTCTGGTAATCGATAAACTCGCATTTGAACGGGATAAACGCAAAAAAGTGTTGTATGCGCTTCTTTGCTAAAACGATGGTAATACGAGGTCTCGGAGTGAAAATTTAATTGACCTGGAAATCACAGATGACGCAAGGGGTCCCTCCGCAGTCAATTAGGGCCCAGAAGGCATGAATCCAGAGAATTTCTGGAGTTTTACTTCGATTTCTCTATAATTATTGTACGAAAACGACAGGTGGAATATGCCATTTGGTACAATACAGAATATAATTCGACCCAGCTGTCAATATAAAAACGAACGTCGGCAACGTAGGCATTTAGAAAAATCGTCTTTATCGACGTTGATCAAGTTCCTCGACGTGTTTCACTTCACCTTAAAGTGACATCAAAGAGGTCTCGTTTATGAAACTCTTCTCCGAACTGAGGATATCGAATAGTTTCAAACTTGACAATGTGAATATGGAGGCTGTAAGTAACATCCCGACACCCATGAAATTTCAATAAAAAAAAAAAATTGTTGATATTTTCCACATTTTTTTTTTTTATTAACAAATGATATTTCATAAGTGTCAGGACCTTCCTTATGGTCTCCGTGTTCACGTTGTACAGTTAGAAACGATTCGGTACACCCAGTTCGGAAAAAAAAGTTTCACGAACGATTGAGCTCTCGGATGCCACTTTCGCATCCCCTTAACACCTTACGGATGTCGAGAAATCTGGCATTTCGTATTACGTGTTTTTTTTTTCTTTTTTTTATCGAGTAACAAAACGTCATATGTGCCCATAATTATGAAAGTGGTCTAAGTCAAAATTAAAAAAAAAAAATGAGTTTATCAGTTATTTCACGCCACATTATTTCAAACTAAATTAATTCAATGTAATTTCGAAACAAAAAATATATGACTTAGACCACTTTCATAATTATGGGCACATATCTGGAATGGATTGGCATCCCTGAAAGAAGATATTCATTTCTCGTGGGTTTTCCCCGGATCGTTTAGGAAGCCACCGATCATTGATATTCCCTCGATAATAAATAGGAAAATATCCTACACGCTCTAGCGGGGATTCAGTAATTCGGTGAGAATTCCAGTGCACTTTTCCTTTCCGCGGGAACGTGTTATTGACGTAGACACGCACTTTCGAGGGCACGCAATCTTCGGTGAGTACATTGTGCGAGTACATTTAAAAACAAATAAACACTCCCCCCGTGCCGCGCTCTCGACGGGCGTGACTTATTCCAACGACGTAAAGATTAGCGCGTGCTCGAGACTCAAACGCGACTGATAAATTGAATAAAACCAAATTACAAGACGGTTGGAAGCGTCTCAAGCGACTTAGATTCCCCGTACATCGCGAATTAAAAATATCCCGGAAAAAAAGAGATCTCGAATTCGTTCCCCTGTACGTACGGAAACGCCAAGAGACAATATGTGCCCATAATTATGAAAGTGGTCTAAGTCAAAATTAAAAAAAAAAAAAAATGAGTTTATCAGTCATTACACGCCATATTATTTCAAACGAAATTAATTCAATGTAATCTCGAAACAAAAAATATATGACTTAGACCACTTTCATAATTACGGGCACATATATCGACTTGCAATTAAATGCCGCGAATAAATGTACGTCGTAATATCTTTCCGCATATACAATTGTAACGATTTATAGCCATACGTGTCTCTAAATAACTGGATTTAAATACAGATACAACTATGAAACCCTTATCCGTCAGTCTCCAAATATGAACTCCCTTGACACACGTAGAATCTTTTTTGTCAATGCAGAAAGTACCCATCCGCACTTCCCACGCCTCGGTGATGACTTCACCGAGTCCCGTAGCTTCCATCGCGATTACGAAATCCGGCATTCTAATACGCCCCGCAATTCTTCTTTTCAATCCACATCGGTGTCAGCGAATTAATACGATTGTCAACTTCTCTCCTTCAATTACTGCTACCCGATACCTATACCCCTTTCACAATATTTCTATCCACAGCCGTCGGTGGTGATATTAATGTACAGGTGAGACGTGTCTGGGAGATTCTCTATACGGGGACTATTTTCCCTAGGGGATCGACGCATCTCGAAAGAATCTTAAAAATATCCGTCATTGATATCATTCGTCGGTATCACCGCCAGGTGCATGTCCTCTTCGACTATGGACTGTGCGCTCCACGAGGTCGGTTCTGATTGATTAGCTTCATGTCCAATATGGCTGATCTTAACACTAGGTTTTCGGGCGTTTTATATATACCTGTTTCTACGAGCATCCGTCAAATTGACGGGTAAACGAAAACCCGCATTTTCTTTAAAAAATCAATTTATCCAAATTAAGTCTGAATTAAACACTAGGCATTACGTTTAAATGAATCATTAATAAGTAAAAAGTCCTTTTTTAAAAATTATCACGGAAATGATTGAAATGCTCGTCCTCTCATCCTCGGAGTCAGAACTAGAAAGAATGCGCATCCTTTTCTCGCTACAACACCCTTTCAAGAAGCTTTCCTCTTCACTATCCGAAGATCCTTCTATCTCTCCACTTTCAATGCCAACTTTCACTCTCATCTTCGCCTTACACTCTCTGCAACGAAGCAAATATATATATGGATTGTTTATGAAGTTAGCTAGTCCGTCAATTTGTCGGGTTTCGTAGAGATAGGTATACTACATACAGATTTTAATAATTAGAAGGCTTAGGAAAAAATAATTGCGTGTACAAATTCTTTGGATGAAATGATTAATTTACGATACAAAAATGGTTAAAATTAATGCTATGGTTTCTTCGGTATTTCTTTTCGAAGTTTGAATTCCGTCAAATTGACGGATCCCGTAAACCTAGTGTTAACGAGCTCTCTTAGGTTATGATTTCAAAAACGTGACAAAATAACAATACGTTATTCGCGTCTAAAAAAATAGGGGGGGGCTCTAGAGATTTGAACAAAAATCATGCGCACCTCTAGCTCTGTGCACGTTCGTTAAGAATAACTACGAGGAACGGTGTCGCACGCGTGCAATCAGAGCACAGGTATAAACACGTCTTGCGCTTCGGTCGGCGCACGCGCACCTGCGATTGGTCAGCTTCACGTCCAACATGGCTGACCTCGACGTACTCATACGTTATAATTTCAACAACATAACAAAAACGAATATAAAACAAACCCAACAGGTAGTCGACGTCTAAAAGTAGGAGCTTTCGAGGTCTGACGAAAAATCAGGTGTACCGCATGTTTCATGCACGTATGTTAAGAACGGTATCGCCCGCGTGCGATCACTGCGCGGGTGTAAACACGTTTTACAACCGTCGTGCGGGCGCCTCCCATTGGTCAGTTTCATATCCAAGATGGCGGACTTCAGCGTGTTCTCACATCGTGATGGTGAGAGCGTAAGAAAAGAGATATAAAACAAATACACGTTCGCCTCTGACGGACGAAGCTTTCGAGATCTGAAGAAAAGTCACGCGTACCTTTGGTTCTACGTACGTCCGTTAAGAATAGCTACAAAGAACGGTGTCGCATGCGTGCGACCACTGCACGAGTATAAACACGTTTACCAGCTCGGCCGGCGCACGCGCGCCTCTGATTGGCTGGCCGGTCGTCGCGCGCAGCTCCCATTGGTCCGTTTCGAATCAAACGCGCCTTCCCCCTCTCCGCAGCCTTCGCGCCACCGATCAGCGTCTCTTCTGAACCCCGGTCAGTCCGTATCGGGAAGAAAAATTCTCGATAAACTCCCCGCGAATTGAAGGCGTCTTAACGAAGCAAAAGGAAAAGAGGGTTCGAGTGATTGATAAAAGACAGGGCGTATTAACGCAATGCAATTCTCTCACGAGCAAGTATGTCACCGTAATCACGGATCTCCTCCTCTCGCCGCGACACTCGCGAAAGAGACGATAAGGCCAATCGGCGAGAGGGAACTTCGGAGGTGTGAACTTCGCGGCAATCCTTGAACCCTATCGGATGAACCAGCCGTAAACGGTTATTCTCTCGTTCTTGTTTTCTTTTTCTCCGCTCGGGAAAGCACGAGATACGTAACGGCTACCTCGGATTCCACGCCTCGTGCGTTCGCATTTGTGGATAAATATTCACCCTGGGGTCGTGCCAAGAGGCGAGATGAAAATAAGAAGACACCGTATCCTCCGCAATTGCAAGTTGAATTAAAACGTCGAAGAGTCCTGGTTATTAAACGAGACGCGACCCCCTGAGCCGTCGCGCTTTTCGTCCGTTCCTTATCCCCTTAAAGAAACGTAATTCATTAAATAAAAAAGGGTAAACAAATGCTACGAGATAATCGCGGGTGTGCACGTTTCGCTTATCTCCCGCCGTCCGTCCGGCGATTTCGGACCTTGCGAGCGCTACTCCGCGCCCGTCGAAAAAGGTTATGGATGCGAGGTCGGACGATGGAGTAACGATTTGCACGCACCGGGCACGTGAGTCGAGGAAAAAGCTGCATCGCGTGGACGCGGCCGCTCGGCAAGAGAAAGGCGCGACGTACCTGGGTCGTTAATTGACTGAGAATAGCCAGGACAAGCGGTAGAAAAAGGAAACATTACCCGACGAGGTCTAAGAAACTACCGAGGAGCACTGCCGCGAAGAAAATAGGAGCGACGAGATTACCGATTACCGCGAGGTCCCCGGCGATCGAAAAACCGAGATATAACATCGAGCCCGAGGGTCGTCGTTCCTCCCGCTTCTAAATAAAAATCCACGGAGCCGAGGGCTCGGATCGAAATACCGGCAGCGAGAGAGCTCTCGGTAAAAGGGATCCCTACTGGCGTCGGTAAAGCCGCGGCGGCAGGCACGAAGCCCGGGCGAAAAGTGTCCGGAAAACCGCGGGGTATAAAAATAGGAGAGCACCCGATGCACGCACCCCAGAGGCGCAGTTATCTTTTTATAACCCAATGTCTGGCGGGTATCGACGGACCCATCTCGGGGGTCCGCCTATTAGCGCGGCGCCCTCGCGACTCGGCGCGGCTCGCTCGCGCGTGGCCCGCGCACACCGTATCCGGCCGCGGTCTTCGCTCCGGTAGCGGAGTAACGATTCCGTTGGAGCCGGCCGGTGATTGGCCGCGGCGCGGACGCGCGCCAATCGAGGCCGAGCTATATCGACGGCTGTCAGCGGGTCGGTCGCGCGTCCCGCGAGCCTCCGAGGGAGGCCGCTCCCCGCCTTCGGATCGGTGCTTTTCGCGAGTCCTCGCCCGCGGCCGTTGACAAAGTCGCGAGCGGGAGCGCCGCGACGGAGAAAACAATCGCGGGCTCGGCCGGACTCGGCCTCGGATCGCGACCGGGCGAAACGTGCCGAGCGGCCGCGCGGCGCGACGGCGCACGCGTCCCCGGCCAATGGGAGGCGGGCTCGCGGTGACGTCACGGCAGGCGAGGCCTGCCATTGGCTGGCGCGGCCCAGCAGGACGAACACGCCACGCAACCACCTACACGCGCTCTGGCGGCGCGCCCGGGCCGGGCGGCGCGCGCGGGGGCGAGCACGCGGAAGGGCGCGGGCTCGGCCGCGTCCGGAGCGACCCGCGCCCGAGCTCGGTGCCGCCCTCCGCGCCAAAAGGCGCCCCGATCCGAAGGAGACCGGGGCGATAGGAGGTCGAGCGGAGAGCACGAGGGAGGGAAGGGGGAGAGACTCGAAGAGAGAAAGAGAGAGATAGAGAGATCGGTACTTACGGAAGAGCCGTGGACGGGGTCTCGTCGCTCGGGAGGCCGTTGGCCCCTGGTCGGGAGGAAAAGGAGCGCGCCGCCGTCCGGACGGTCCCAGGAGGCGCGGCTCGCCCGCGGAGCTCGATCGCCGCTCGACCGATCTCGCGACTGCTTCGGGTTCGCCTGGGCTGCCCTCGGCCAGGCTCGACGCGCGCGGCGGTCTAGAGCACGCGGCGGCTACGAGCCGATCGATCTGACGCGTGGCAGAGGCATTTTACAAGTGTTAACCACTGCGCATCAACGGCCATGCTTGCTTGGCCACGATTCACGTGTCCGGGCTCGCGGCCCTGGCCAATGGCGGCGCCCCCCGTGACGTCACGCGGCTCTATCGACCAATGAGCGCGGCCCATGTGACGCAGCGGCCCGCTGCTCCGAGGCGCCCGAGTGCGGGAGACGTGTCGCCCGCAACGCGCCGTATCCTCCGTGCCCGCCCGCGACCGCCCGGGGACCCGTTCGACCGGGCCCGACGTCGCGCGCACTCCGCCCGCGTCCCCACGCCCCGGACCCCTCCGACGCCGCGGCCCACCGCGAGTCACGCGACCGCTCCCCGGCCGCTCCGACTCGCCCGGGTCACTCGAGGCACTCGACGTTCCACCGCGGCCCGCTGCTCTCACCACGAGACGACTGCGGCGGCTGGCAGCGGCGGGGACAGCGGCATCGCCCGTGATCGCCCGCTTTAACCGCTGCCACCTATTGTCACGTTACTTCGCCAGCTCGCCCTCCGTCACATGGATCGACGCCGCGCGACGTTGCCGCTGCTCCGCTCATGCGCACTCCCCGATCCGGACGAGCGACCCGACCTGCCCGGAGCGCGCCGAAAGCGTGGCGAAGTGAGCGGCCGCCGAGGGGGAGGTGCGGCTCGACCAATCGGATCGCGGGAATCGCGCGCGGCCGGCGCGAGTAGAGCGGCGCAGGCGCGGGCTACGAGCGCGTGCTCGGCTTTGATCGCGCCCGGCCCATGGACGTAGGACGCGTGGGCCCCGCCAGCCCGACCGTTCCCCCCTGGTGCTCTCCCCAAGGCAGCGGGATGGAAAGAGGGGTCCGTTCTTTCTCTTTCTCTCTTGCCGTTTAATGGGGTGTCGCCATGTTGCGCCGCGTAACCGTTTTACCGAGGCAAAGAGAGGAAGGCTCGCTGTTTTCTCTTTCTCAGCTCTGTTCTCCGTATAATCGGATAAGCGGGACGGACCCCGAGGTCCTACGCCTATGGCCTGGCCGCGTGACGCGACCGGTGCATAGTGGAACGCAATCTCTTCTCCCGGTGGATGTGTACGTTACGTCGCGGGTAGGGTGGCAGAAATAATGGACGTTTTCTTGATTACTCGGGTTTTATGAAACGCTACCCTGAATCTCAAAGGGTGGTTCGACTTTAGTCCGCTGTAAACGGTGTGCGAATAAATATTGTCCAAATCCTATTGGACATCTTATATTAACGTTTTCTTCGATCGATCCACGGAAATTCTGGGAAGTGAATTTTTCTTTTGGCAGGGAAGAATGACTGTGGTTCGACTTATTGTGATGCGTGCGTTCACGATCGAAAATTGAAGTAGCTCGTAAACGTGTCGTCGGGTTTGCACGCGCTTTCCGTGTCATTTAAAATGAGAAGCACGACGGGGGGCGCAATCGGTGTCGTAAATCGATGTCGCGTGTTTACGCTTTTCCCGCGAATCTTACGGGAATTTAAAGCAACCAATGTAAACCGAGCATGCGTATGCCCATATTTATGTCCTTCCATTTTCGACGAGCAGGCGCCGACGCCCTGCACCCTGAGATATTAATCTAGAAATATATCCTTTAAACGATGTATGGCTTTCAAAATTTCAGTCATGCGATATTTTAACGCATGCAACGACTTCTGTCCTTTATCTCACCCCACTCACCTTTATCGTTATTCCGTTGACCGATTGTCTTTGCTTGTAATCGCCGTTTTGTATTTTTAAATTTAAAAAGTACGGAATTTTCCCTCCGCGTACCTTGATCCGTGATTGGCTGCCGCTCGACCAATGAGCTTCGAGACGGCGGAGTTGGCAACACTGGCGCTCGCGTCCGCGTGCACTCGACGTGACGTGAAGCACGCGCGTTCGTGCGTGCAAAAGACTCAGTCTCGTGGGCGTGTCGCGTACGCTCCTTTGACTTGGAGAAAAAAATACCCCGCGCAAACGGATATGATTTATTCATCTTGCTATACCCTACTTTTTACAGAGTCGAGCAACTTATCTGAACGTGTATTTTCTATTTTATTTAAGAGCATCCATAAGTTTACGTTGACTTCCTTTTAAGCTTTCTGACCGTCTCGTCCAAATAAGAGCGTAAAATTTTATAACCACTATTTATTCTTACTTAAGATCCTTTTTCTTACTGAAAAATATTTCTATATCAAGCAGTACGTACAATCATGCAAAACGCATTCAGAGTCGATTATCATGGATTCGGAAAAATGACTTTGGTACACATGAAACGGGTAAACTTTGAACGATGTTTAACACGTTGCCTTTTTCTTCATTGTATACTTCTAGTAATTTGTGTCTTTTTATAAGCTTGTTGAAAGAGGGGATCATTTGAAATTAATGAAACGCACGGTTGATTTTGCAAACACGAATGTATATTGTTACCGGTTGTCTTTCGTCGACACTTCTATTTTACAATGCACACTCCGGGTAAAAGTACCAGCATCTAAAAATATATAAACTATAAACTATAAACACAGCTAAACATTTGACATCTTCAATATCATAAACTACGACTTAAAATATCTTTATACAATGTCTGTCGATAAATAACTCATCGCCTCAATTTCAACCTCGAAAGTTAGTGGCTCGAAATTTGTTCAAAATGAAAGAATGTCTGCCCCAAAAATAATAAATACACACGTTACAAATAAATATACACCCTTTGTATTCACACGCATATTCATTATTTATGCAACATATTTTTACTTCGTGCGTACACTCTTCCTGACTTTATTGTAGTTCAGTTCCCTTTTGGTCTCCGAGTGATAAAAAGAAACTTAAAGAAAGACATTCCTCAGGGGAGTAAACAAATTTATTCGTGTACCGGACCATTATATAATTTATCGATAAATGATAACGTGGCTCACGCGGTATTCTCTTAAAAACACGCTTATACGAATTTGGAACTAATTACCTAATTTGCATTGGCAGTAAGTATCAGAATAGCATAACAGAATAAAATGTTAATGTTCTCCGCTTTGCGAATTGACTAGAATTTATACAATACTACGTGACAAACAGATCCATGGGTTTGTCGATAGAAACATCTATAATCGTTGTTTGAACATTTCGATTAAACTTCACAGACGGTGTCTGAAAACTTTGAAAACGCAATCTAGTACCTACACTGAATTTAAACGTCACGCGTAAACCAGTCTCTGGTCTTTAGTACTAGTTTTCTTGTTCCTTTAAAGCATAATCAATTATGTGGCGTATCATAAATACATACAAGGAGACATTGAAAGGCTTTTGAAAGGATTCAGGACCCTCCACTGCACCCTTCTTGGAAACCACAAGTAATTATTATTTTTAAGACTTTATAGAATCATCGGTCAGACTTAGAACGACATTGAATGAAAATAGAACCTTGTATATTTAAAGATTATACAAGCACCGTGTCCGCTCTTATGTACACACATTTACGCGGAATACTTGTCACAAACAATGCAGATATTTCTAATATTTCAAATATTTCAGGTTCGACCGAGTCAGTTTAAAATCGGTTGTACGTTGATTTTGAATATTTATTGCAAAAGTAATTTCCCCTCTGAGGGAAAGATTAAATTGATCGGTTTTACAACATAAAATTTCTTCGAACACGTATGTTCTTTTCTTTCTTTTTCGTACCATAATGCTTGATGAAAATGTTTTCCGTCGAAATGTCTAATAGACCGAAGGAAACAGAAGAAATTCTATTTCACACGGTCTTAAAACATTTCTACCTGCCTTTATCGAATCGCCAGAAAAAAATTTAATTTGCAACCACAGCAAACAGTATCTTATCCAATAAGACGTCGGACATTCCTGTGATTACCACGGAAAAATAATTAGCTACCTCTGAAAAAATAATATCATTTACACAATCTGATAGGAAATATTGATAAATTATAGCGCATTCGATGCCGACAATATACGAAAGGAAGGCATTCATGTCCACCAATATACAGTAAACGTTATTATCTGCTTCGTAACAATTATTTCTCCGTGTACAGTGTATCAAGAAAAATGTTCGTAGTCTATGCACCGCTTCCACGTTTGCCTAGGTTAGAAATTATTTTCAACAGCGACGTTATAAACACAGGTTCTCTATTAATACCTAAGATTGTCGTTTCTTGACAATGACAAGTTGTGACCCTGACATGTTCCATCTTCCCCCGTAACTTACAAAGGAAGCAAGTGATAAACAATCTCTACAAGGTTTACAGACTTCTACGCAAAATGTTTCCCAACTGTGCGATTAACCTTAAATTTTGGCCTAACAAAAATCCCAACAAAGTGGTCTGTTTCCGGCACTAATTGAAGAAAACGGACATTGTTTCTAAAAATGAACGACAAATAATTACAGAAAATAAGCTAAAGAGCATTCTACGGCCTTGAATGTCAATATAATGAAGCGTCTGTTGTCCCTCCGATTTAAATCAAACAAATTGCAGACAAATCACTGGGGTCTCAAAGAATATACGATAATTGAACTAGATATGCTTCTCGTTGAGCAACGGCTATCTGCTCAGATTGCTCACGTACAAATGTTTCAATTCCGTCTTTGGCGTATTCTCAAAGAGCGCGGCACGATTCTGTCCTTCGCCCTTCTTCACCCAATGCCCGTACACTCTGAACGCACAACCATCGATAACCTGCACAGAAAATATTATTGTTAACTAATCGCTTCAACACGTGTATCATTCTTTTCGCCACAAAACTTTTTCTATTATTTGTATCGGTGAAGAAACTAAACAGTGTTTCTCACAAAATACAAATTACACCACATCAGATTTTACATTGCAAGCTCAATCGCGATCCTACATTTTTTTTAACGTTTTTAAACGTTTTAGCACAGAGATAGTTTATCTAAAAAATGAGTTCTCTCGTTTAACAAGTAATATCCTGGTTTTTAATTAAAGCTTGCTTGTTTTCTTCCGCGAGAGTGAAAAGACACCTCAAAATATAGATTTTCTTTTATAGGGAACACTGCGTACCTTTCGTAGGAGTTTTATCCGGTATGGATCGGTACGAGCGACGTGGGCAGAAAGTGGCTCTGGTGTTGTATGCAGTCTTTTAATTCGGATGACTGCTCGGACACAAATTATTGCTAGTTGGAACCGCTTCCTTGCGTTGAAGGACCTGGCTTTCAGTTCCTAGGATAATAAATATAGCAGAGTTATGGTTTACTGCAAATAGTTTTAACATGAATAAGACCTGCAGTTAAGAGTCGCATCGGTCAACGACTGAAAATTTACATTTGTTTTATACATTCATGTGAAATTAATCATTAATCTAAGGATGGTAGCATTACGTGATCATTAGTTACTAGTTACTTAAGTAAATCAAGTAAGAAACAATCATTAGCAAGCCAGAGTATAAAATATATGTGACGATCACACCCGATATAAAGTAGTTTCGAACATGCTTGGTGGTAGATTATTCATGGCGCGCAATGAGTAAGTTTTTCATTAAAATGTGCGTGCATGAATATAAATAGAAAATGAATTTTTTGCTCAATAAAATGAATATGTTACATCTGTTTGGTTAACTTTAAATGTATTCTTGCTTAACGATATACAGCACACATCTGGACCTGCTAGTCAGAAGTATAATCTCAAGCTCAAATTAAGGTTTTTTTAAGGAAACAAAAAAAAGAAAGGAAAACAAAGTGAAGAAAAGATAAGTTTGACGTTGATTGAATCATCTGAATGATGCACTTATTAAAGCAGGAAGTAACAGTAATTAGTAATAATTCTAGAATGTTAACCTTGTTAAGGGAAGTCAGCAAGAAACCATTATTACCACAGATTCTAATTGAATGAAACATAAAATAATTTACCAGGGCTAATTGAGATATCCTACTGAGCCGACGTGAATTAGATGACAATGAACGCTTTAATGGCGCAATGTCTTGATCCCATAGCTGTAATGGTAATTATAAATTATAATTTAACTTACCAATGCAAAGATGTGATGCCACTACATTTTAATCTTTTGAGTGTAACAACCGTTAACTACTGTCTATAACGATACTATTTTTCTAGAATTTGTTTGAGAGAAATTAAATAATAAATAAGCAGCAAAAAGTACACAGTTGTGTGTATTATTAAAATTGATGAGTATTCTATTAAAAAATAAGTGAAGATACAAAGTATTAAATCATATTTTTGCTTCTTGATATTACATCGAAACAATTTTATACAGCACCTACTATATCGATCCACATGTGAGTATGAGATGAGCAAAGTGCACGATAATAAATTTATTCCTTGTAATGACATAAGCCCACCATGTTTAAAAAATGCAGAAAGATTATACTATCAAAAATAGCCAATGAACAAAAGAGAAATTCTCACCATAGTGTGGAAGAACGAATGTTCCAATGCATCCTTGATGGTAATTCGCTTCTTAGGATCGATCACAAGTAATTTTCTAATTAAATCTTTTGGTGCATCTGAAATTTATATTTGAATACCAAAAAGTATACAAAGGGTAAAAAATATATATATACAGATATATTTGCACTACTCTTACCAGTTATATCAGTCCATTCTGGTGACGTGAATGAATATTTTCCTTCCATTATGTTTCTTAGCATGATCATCTGTTTTCGGTGCCAAAAAGGAGGACAACCGACTAAGAGAGTAAACATAATTACCCCGCATGCCCATCTGAAAAATAAGAAGTAGATTAACTGTCTACAAGTTGTATTGTGTATTTTTTGCTATGTATTGTAACCGTTGCCCCACTGATATTTACACATCGACTTCATATCCATAGCCTTCGGCATTCTCAAACATATTACACTTGAGAACTTCTGGAGCTAAGTAACCTGGTGTACCGCATAGATCTATAATAAAAAAAAAAAAACTCGTAATATAATAGAAACTATTTAAATAAATATACAGATATTGATAAACATGTGCAAACCATATAGTTTTTCCCCAGAATTCAATATTCTTGCAAATCCGAAATCTGTAATCTTCACATTAAGATTGTCATCAAGTAGTATATTCTCTGGTTTTAAATCTCGGTGCACTATATCTTGATTATGTATATGTAGAACCCCTTCGAAAACCTGTCTCATAATGTAACGGGTCTTCTTTTCAGAAAGTGTCACAACTGATGTCAGGTAATCAAAAAGTTCGCCGTTTTTGCACAATTCGAAGATTAAGAAGATGAAAGTACTGGATTCGAAGACATCATGTAATTCAACTGGAAATTAATCAATAAATTAATTTAGTATTTTAATTTGTTAAATCATTAAGAAGAATTTTAATATAGATTTATTTGGCTGTAAGTTAAGATAACTGTTATTCGAAGGCTATGAATTTGTTACAGGGCAGTACTGACATTAAATAAAATATTGATCTCTTGGTTCATGTCTAGGCATGTATATCATAAAATAATATTAGGTCATTTAACATTCGGTATAAAATGCATATATTTAAAAACAGATTGTGTAACAGATTGCAACAGGCTGATGACCTGATAAAGTAACATATCTGTTCTCTGTTAAAACAAAACAACTGGCTCAGGATAAGATAAAAATTCTCTTGTTTCACCAGCAGACAGATGATTGCTTTATCAGCCAATTAGTAATGTCAATCTTTTATTCTTCCTTATTCCAGATACACGAAACCTTATTCAAGAGCAGAAAATGTAGCAGCTATTGATTACATTTATATTGTAAAATTTAACGCATAAAGACGACATGAAGAAACTTACTGATATAAGGGTGGCCTGCCACCTTTCGGAGTATATGTACTTCTTGCATTGTCGCATCCTTCATACTGTGAGCATCTGTGCCATCGTGTGGTTCATTACTTATATCGATAATTTTCGCTGCATATTCTATTCCCGTTTCTTTTTCTATACATCTTCGTACTGTCGATGAAATTCCTCTGCACAAATTATATTACAGTTGAATGTATATTTTCTCCTTAAAATCTTGGAATTGTTTTCATCGATATTTTTAATACATATATCTTCTAGAACTGTAATTTATACATGCATAGAAATTATGAATAACTTTGTCATAAAATTGCGGTCGATTGAAAATATGGCAATATTGCCTTCATAAGTGATCTCCCGAAAGCACGTCATAGGACTTCTTTCACAGCTATCAGAAATTGTTGAGCTATCACCCCAGCTATATCACATGGACGTAAATCGAGGTTAATGTTAATAGACAAAATTGATTTAATTACACCCTTTATCCAATGATTCTTAGCATTCAAAATTCACAGATAAAACTATAACAACAAATTGAATATTCTTATAATAAGGAAAAGCATAAATTATCAATATTTATGCACTTTTTATCTCCTCTTATGAAGTGTTACCTTATTTATTACATTTCAATATTTTGATAATTCATTATTATCGTCTAAATGAGTTATTTCTAATAAATAGCAATGAAAAACTAACCTAGCACAGTTACCTTCTGTTTGCAAGGTCAGTACAACACAAGAGTGACGTGAATCACGGAATATTGATAAAACAAAGTATCTGACTGAATTTCTATATAGGCAGTACCTCTGCTTAAGAAATTCAACAAAAATTACATAATTTAGAGGTTATGTCATATACTCATAATCACTAAAACACTGTTCTATGGAGCCACCATATATTAAATATTACAAATTTAAATGAATTACTTCCGCAAATATTATTTGATTTCCATTAGCGATTAGTAATCGTCCATAGAATAACACGAATAAAAGTCATAATTCTATGATAATTTTAAAACCACTTACTATTATACACACTCCCCCTCCTATTCTCCATATAAAATTGAACAATGATTACTCCATTGGTTACATTTTCCCTTTCTTTGTCATTTAGAGAGAGGACATGGATTGACGCAATCAAATATAATAGGAATAAAAGTGACTCCAGGATATTATTTTTATATTTAAAATGGTTTAAGAATCTCGTGCCGTTAGATACAAATTAAGATAGCAGAGCAGTCTGTAAACAAGAACGGACCTTCCGAGGATCTCCTTGGGCTCGTACTTGGCGTAGAAACCTTTGGCGGCGTCCTTGTCCGGCAAGAGATCGTCCCCCTCGTCCTTCGCCATGGTTTAACCGAGGTGATGCTCGAAAGAGGCCCTTTTTGAAGGAAGCTGTCAACGACGGACACCATTCATCGCTCGAGCGAGACGCTAGCGATCATCGCCAACTGTCCAAGGTACGAACGGGTGCGAAGGACTGTCTCACTCGACTCACTGGCCACCGGCCAGCTGCACCTTCCACTAGATAACAACCAACTTACACCAACTGGCACCAACTGACGAACTGGCGGCTCTTGAGCCGTGATCCATAGACCTAACCAACTGAGGCACTCATATTTGCGTACTTGAAATTTCGAGTGCACGAAAGTTCCGAGAGTATCCCGGTGACATATGTGCTATCGAATCATATAGAATGCTGTCGATGGGCTGATATTCATGGTCGCGTGCAGTGTTGCCATCGTGCGACTCAGAGGGTAGGAGAAATCATCAAAAATGGGTGTAGATTCCCTGTCAGCGGAGTAGAACAATGAAATATATAGTAAACTATATATTTCTATGCAGAGATGAGTTGGGAGATTGCTCACGGGCAGGGTGGCGCGATCGCATCCTGTGCTGCCCTCTGGTTTCGTACGTTAGCTTTCACCGTTTTTTGCCCCCAAGGGCGGCGCAACGAATTTCTGGTAGGGGATCGCGCACTCGCGATGACGGTGCCATCTACCATCGGCGCTACACATAACGAGTATGCGTGAGAGCCGAATGCTGCGAAAAATCCTCACTAGCCACGGATATAAGCCGAGTCATTTCGAGTATGATTTTTACATTTCCCTACTAGCGTTATCGAGCGTTATCGAGGGTATCCAAGCGTTTTCGAGCGTCTTCTGAGCGTATTCGTTGCCGGAGAGTGCCGGAGAGTTGCCGCATAGTGTCGGAGAGTTCTGGAGAGTGCCGCATAGTGTCGGAGAGTGCTGCAGTGTTCCGGAGAGTGCCGGAGAGTCCCGGAGGGTGCCGGAGAGTTGCCGCAGAGTGCCGGAGCGTTGCCGCATAGTGTCGGAGAGTGCCGCAGAGTGCCGGAGAGTTCCGGAGACTGCAGGAGAGTGTCGGACAGTGCCGGAGAGTTGCCGCAGAATGCCGAAGAGTGCCGGAGAGTGCCGGAGAGTAGTCGGAGAGTGCCGGAGAGTGCCGCAGAGTGCCGTATAGTACCGTAGAGTGCCGTAGAGTGTCGTAAAGTGACATAGTGCCCTAAAGTGCCTTAGAGTGCCCTAGAGTTGCGTAGAGTGCCGTAGGGTGCCGTAGAATGCCGTAGAGTGCATTAGAGTGCCTTGGTTAGGTTAGGTTAGGTTAGGTTAGGTTAGGTTAGGTTAGGTTAGGTTAGG